TTGGGGGGGGGGGGTGGTGATGGTAATTGTCTTCCATTTGTAAAGGCATTCCTTACTACCCTTTACATTCACAGACATTATTTTCCACTTGGTTAGGGATGGGGAAGTTGGCTAGCGCTTGCCTTTTATGGTGTGGAAATTCTTTCCAAGATGTCATATGAAATATCACAGATTTTCATTTTAAAACAAAGGGAAAAAAAAACCAATGCAAAGAAAAAAAAGAAATGCACATGATTATTTTTTGATGTCTGTATTACTGATTTTCCAGATGACTATGATTACATGGCGATGAAGTGGGAGTATGTTAGAATTCTAGTTATATTACTCTAATATACATATACAACACTGCACGGTTGGATTATTATACTCTGTTAACTTATTTTTATGATCGTAGTTGTAGTTAATATTTGATCTGGTGTTATATGCTATAAATAATCCAAACATATATGAACCAATTACTTGAATGCTAAATTCAAGTTCATAAACTGATCTTTACTTATAATTGATTGGAAATATGATAATGGTTTTTCCTGGACCTTGTGTTGAAGAATAGTATGTGCTACCCTTCTCAAGATTGAGTTTTTTATTGGCATGTTCAGATGTGCTTGTGGCAACTTAATGATAGTTAGGTTGAATATCTTGCAGAAGCTTAGGGTCCTGTAGTAAGATAGACGACTTGGAAACACACGTAGAGACACGACACGACACGACACGAACAACGAACACAATATTACTCCAAAAAATAAGATATGGACACATTGAGGGCACGTTGAAATAATACACATTCAGACATTTCTTGTTCAAACAGCACTGTCTGGTTATGCAAACCATGTCAGAATTTAAGTTTTTGGATTTTATGTGTTAGAATTACAATTCCGTTGATATATGCAGCCGGTCAGTTACTTGGTAACATGCACACCTGCATGTGCTCGTTGCTAGATTGAGTGAATGAGCTTAAACTTTGAAATTTCCTCAGATAAGGTTTAGTTTTTGGGGTGTTTCATGGTTTTAGTTTTGCATGAATTCAGGCTTTGGATTGTTAAAACATGTTCATGGTGTGTTCAATGGTAAAGTTAAGAAGGTTATGCCATAGCTTTGTGCATGAAATGAGGAGTTAATGAGCTTCTTCAGAATTCCATAACGATGGAGGATTTGGTGTGTACAGATGAGTACTGAAGACAATTATTCTGTAAGAAGTCCCAATTTGTTAGTTTTCATTGAGGTGATGAGGGGTTGCTGAGGGATTAGTCACTAGTACTTGATAGTTTTTTGAAGCCAAGGTTCTGGATTTGCATTCATTTTGTTAGATTGCTAGTTATAGTTTAGGACCAGTGCCTTTTGTGGGGCGTGAATACCTTCCTGTAACTATGGGGTTTTAATTTGAATGTGCACTTTACTTGGACTATTTGTTTATAGGTTTAGGTAGTTGAGATTCTTGTATTGGAATCTTTTGTTTGTGTTTGGATCTAGTTATGTGATTATGGGGTGCAACTTGTGCAGGCTAACTCGAATCCAACCTGAAATTTTCAGAACTTGGGTACAGATCCACAGGACTTCAATATTCGGTTGGGGCTTAGACAAAAAAATGCATCCTGAATTTTATTTGCATAAAACTTGGGTTGGAGATATTTAGTTTGGGTTGACCCGGAATTATATCTAATGTAGTTGCACGTGACATTCGCTCATCATTGTGTCTCTCAACTCCCCTGCACCCTCTGCTCCTTCTTGTTATTCATCTCTTCCTTCATTTTCACTTTGATTTTCAAAATCTCACTTATTATCTAGAGTCAAATATAGGCCCCCACGTGCCAAATCAAACACTGAAAACTCACAACTCATGGGTTTGATGTTTCTTTGCCCAATAAATTGCAGTGAATGAAGTAAAGGGTATGAATACTAGTGGGAATATCTTTATTGGACCTTAAAAGTTCTTAATGATGGTGCTTTTGCGCTATTAGGTGCAAAGTTTGGTGCCCTCGTCTTATTATCTTTTCTTTCCTGTTGGCATATTGTTTTGTAATGGTTTATTAGGCAGGAAGTTTGGTGCCCTCGTCTTATTATCTTTTCAATTTTTATTATCTTTTCTTTCCTGTTTGCATATTGTTTTGTAATTGTTCTCTCACTCGGTGATTCTTGATGGAATTTATCATGGTAGTTCATCATTTTGCTCGAGACTACCAATTGGTTTCTTTTTAAAGAACTGCCATGTGATCTTGTATTGAGTAGATTGGTTGGAATGACACCTTCACTTGTGTACTACTCAAATAATTTTCATTGCTAATCTTTATATCTGTTAGCATGAACTAGTTGTATGTGTTTGAATATTCAATGGTCAATTTGAGACATGAAAGTGTATTTGGTTCAGGTGTATGAGAGCTATTTGGGCGCAAATGCTGTGAATGGTTGTGATGATTTCTTAATTGCGGACTGCAATGCTGTACATTTGTTGCCGCTGCACTCTATTTGCCCTTATAAGTTGTGGCTTCTTGTGACTTGCTGTTAGTGGAGTTTACTGGAGTTAGTTTAGTTAAGATTCACTACTTGGAGAGGTTACAGAATGTGTTCTGAGATTATTTGCTAAATGGTTTTGTTTTATCTTAGCTCTTTGATATATTCACTATAATTGAGTAGTAATCATTTACATGCTGCATATGAATATGTCATTTTATGATGCTGCGTTTTATCTTTTGAGGAGATTATTTTATGGCTCTGTCTTGGTTTGTAGTGAGGCATATTTGATATTATGTGGCCTCTTTTTTTTTTTTTGTTGCAAATATGGTTTCCTTGTGAAAGATTTGGGAGCTTTTTGAGTTCATAGTCGAGTGGATGAAATTTGTCCCACTCTTCTCATTTATTGCTTTCCTACCTAAGGTATGGCACCGAGAGACGTTAGTCTGAGAGGTATAAAGGGTCCAAATTCTTTTGGCACTAATAAGACCGGTTAGTTTGGCTGTGGCAACCTTCTACCACATGTGGCTAATGGGGCTATGTTTGCTTCTTTATTTTGTGGAGAGGGAAAAAAGAAGAAAAAGGCAAGGGAGTAGGTGGCAACATATTTTCTCAAGTATGATGTTGGATAATGAAGTTTCCCCGACATCATGCATTTGTTTTGCCTTGAGATAGATGCAGGAGTCCGAGTTGGGGCTTTGTAATTTTTTTCGGAAGTCATTACCATTATTGCATATTTTATGTGTCTATTTTATGTAACATCACACAATGGAAACATGCTCCTATGAAAATGAATTTGATATTTAAAAACAAATGTAAATGTTTTTTTTACAAGGACAGTACTCAAACTTAGCCGTTTTGCAAATTTGATGCAAATAAGCTTATATCTTGCTTGTGCCTTCTCTGGTTGACATGTTTGTATAATGCTGTGTACATTTTTCTGTGCCGTGCTTTTGTCCATGAATGGTATGCAACCTAGGCATCCCAACTTCGTGGTGCCATTTCTGGTTTTAATTTCCCAGTTGTATGTGGTTTCAAAACAATTATTCATGTGTAGAAGATGTGCAATGGTTGTCTGAGGTTTGCAGAGATTGGATTTCCTGACACTGGTATTTTAGTTGTTACTTTCATTGTTATTGTGACTGCTGCTTTCATGCTCTCTTTTTTCCCCCCCAAAGTTTTGTTTCCTCTCATATTATGTTCCCTCCCCTTCCACCCCTCTTGACTCGAGCATGAGGAGAGTGGCTGTATAGATTCATACACTAATACTATCGACAAACTTCTTTTAATCCCTTTGGTTTATCCTTCAAGCGCTTCATCTTGTATCGTTTAAGAAACAACACATAATCTGTGTAGTTTTGGAAAATGAACAGCTAACCACCATTGAAGGAAAAAATTTTAATTAGAACGTTTTAGTATTTGGTCCAGTGTGATGACAGTTATTCTTTTACTATACATTTTTGTTATGACTTGTATTCTGCCCCTGGGATTTGTGAGGGTGATGTTTCTGTGAAATATCAGGCTGCTGCTCATCCAAACTTGTCAAATAGATAGCCCTTGGAAGAATTCATGGAGATTATCAATGGCGCATTGTAGCTTTATGCCTTCTGGTTGCACAGAACATTCAACTACTCATGGGAATGCTGGTTGTGCGGGGAATGCTATATAGATCTTCTCTAATACATTCTCTTTTGATTCTTAATGTTCAATCGATACCTATGAATTCAAGTGAGACCATTTAGGGGTTGAAAGAAAATATATTAGCGGAGATCTCGGTCTCCAGTTGATCTATGGGGTGATCTATATCCTGACTTGGGGCAGGAGTCATACAGACTTGAGCTCATGTTGTAGAGTCTAGGGTAAATTCTTTGGTCACAGTTATTATATTTTGGCCGGTTTAGAGCTCGAGGGAATTGGCGCCTGTACACCCTGTAGTTAAAAAAAACAGGGCCAAAACTGATGTTTAGTGGCTAAGATGGCCAACAATTTTGTGAGCTATGTACTAGAAAGATGTTAGAACTGATTGTGTCATAAAACTTTTAACTTCAACATGAAATAATAGCATTGCTTTCAAGCTTTTAATCTCGGAACTGTATTGTATTTCATCTTTAAATACTAATATTATTGAATCTCTATTTCTCAATTTTGGCTGATGAATTCGCCGTTAATTCGACATGAAATCGAAGAAAATTTATCGGTTATAATTGCAGTCTTAATGTGTTTGGATGTTGGCCAAGGTTTAATTGTTCAGAAATTTTTAGTGAATGCGTAGGTTGTATCATGACACATTCGACTGCGTTTTATTTAGCACGATATGCAGACAATAGTATATAATGGACTCATTTGGTAGTTGTATTACGAAAGGATTAAATATTAAATTATATTATTTTTTATTTAATTTGACTTAATATTTTGTTTGGTAAACAAATTTCATACCGTATTGATTTAAAAAATGTATATTAATTGTAGATTTGTATTAATATTACCAACTGAGATGTTATTATTATCTAACTTAAACGTATTATTTTACTAAGTTATTATTATAACCCTCCAACAGATAAAATTAAGTTGTCATAAATGTAATAAACAATGATTGATGATATTTTTGTTAATTCAACATTAATACGTATTATTCTACACAATTATTATTATAACCCTCCAAACAGAAAAAATCAAGTAGTTATCAATATAACAAATACTGAATGAGGGTATTTTTGTGAATTCAACAATAATATGATGAAATAATTTTCTAACCAAACAATTGATTAGATTAAATTACTGTTATCCAACGTTTTATATTGTGTATTGCTAAACACTAGAAAAAATTATGTATTGTTTTAATATCTTATTTAATCTTGTCTTTTATCCCACTGTATTGTATTAGACTGAATTATTTTATATAATTCATCCATTTTTAATACGACAACCAAATGAGTTCAATTAGGAGTGGTAATTTTTGACACAACATAAAACACATGGTTCGAAATTGACACAAAATTAGCAGGTTAAAGTTGGTCATTATTTGACATAAATTCATATATAACATGATCCGTTAACACGAACAATAAATAGTGTTAAACGTGAACAAAATTAATTCAATACGTTTAATTAGTATTGTAAGAATAAAATATTATTTTTTTTATTATATTTTATTTAGTATAGACATAATTCTTGTACAAAAAAAAAAGATATTTTTACTCATTTTTATTATTATATTTAGTATATGTTGATGAGCTTAAATCTAACTAGGCTAGTCCCAATAAATTAAGTAAGTCCAAATTAGTTAAAGGATAAGTCAAGTCGAGTTCAAGAATTCGACTCAGCCCAAGTTTGACGAAGTTTAAGAAGAATTAGAATATGTGGGGAGCAATTATCGGAATACTCACTCTCGAAGATCAAAACAACCTTTTATGACAATTATCTTTTGTAGTCACTCAAAGAATTAGTACATTTGCCCCTCAAGTCACCGTCTTAACCAATGCCCTAAGCTTATAAATTGTAATCCTCTCTAGATGAAAGGACATATTGAAGTTTACCTCTACATTTCTTTACACACACAAATTTTTTTTTTCTCTTAGCTATTGTACCTCTCCCAGAGTTAACTATTGTTCTCTCTCTCTTTCCCGTTTACCTTACTTTGTCAATAAAGACCCTCCAGACATCGTTGCCGTTTTCAAGAGTGGAGTAGGTCACTCGGATCGAAGCACTATATATTTGTGTATTGACTAAATATTTACATTACTGACATTGATTGCTTTATTCATTGTCCATGAATTACACTCTACCGCACACTCAATTGTTAATCTTACACGAGACTATTTTGTGCATTATCATATGTTATGAGTATAGATCGAGTATGAGTACTCATAGAATAAAGTATGACTATATGTTTAATTAAGTGATAATTAAATTTTAGACATAAATGTAAGCGTTAAATTTTTTATTCTCAAGTTATATGGATTAATACGAATACGATGCGAAAATAAATAAATCGAGTCGATACGATACATTTATTTAAACATATTAGATTAAATATTTGATATAAATTTAATATAGAATAACAGATACGATACGATTGTCATCTTCAGATTCGACATAATTTATTTCTTGCCTTGATGGAAAGAACATTAGAGTCATGTCACACTTGACTAATCAGTGGGCAACAAATGACTTCCAACATGGGCGGCCTAGACCAGAAATAGCAATTTAAGCCATAGACGAGTGAGAAATTCAAGAGAATATCTCTCTCTTTCTTAAGAAAATTGGTGACGTTTTGTATTGATCTAGTGATAGCATGATGCCATTCGTCCTTCCGAACACAAAGAGTTAAATATTTAGAATGGTTTTTGGCTCAATGACATGTGCTCCATAACAAAAGGGTGATCATATTGACCAAAAATTATAAATCTTCAATGATTAATAGGGAGAAGTATATAGTTGATGAGGGGAAGAGGGTGTAGTTCCATTGCAAAAATTCACTTTTATTCATATAAAATCACATATTCAAACCTCACCCCCTTTCCTTCTTCCTTCCCAAAAACTTAGATAAATGTTCTAAAGGACCAAATACCTTCTAAAATAATGAAAAAAAAAAAACACATCCAACTACCCCCACCACCTCACATGCCCACCTTAAAAAAACAACTCTCCTTCCCTCTTTAAGAGAAAAAAGAAAAGAATAAACTACAGATATAGTTTTCAAATTATAACTTTTGTGTCAATTAAACTTTTGAAATTTTTTTGTGTGTCAATTTGAGCCTTTTTATGTTTGTCTCTGTTTAAAAGTGACAAAGTTTGTCATTCACGTAATAGAAATGGTTAAAGTAAATTACTTATGATAATTGTGTCAATTAAATACTTAATTTATTTTTGTGTCAATTAAAATCATAAACTTTCAAAATATATCAATCGAGCTATTTTGTGTTTTTGTGTTATATAGTCCCCGGAGTGACATACTCTAACGGAGGTAAAAGGATTAAATTGACATAATTAAAAAGTTTAACGGTTCAATTGAATGATTTAATAGACACCAAAATTATAATTTTGAGGCATATATAAAATTTACTCAAAAAAAAAAAAAAAAAAAAAACACAAAGAAGAGGAGAAAAGGTTTTGAAACGAGGGTAGGAAATAGCGAAGTGTCTCCTTCCATGTGGGGAGCTCATATATGGTGAAGTGTGTGGGCATGGAAATTAGTTAGTTTGCTATTTCAATAGGAGAAATTCGCGGGAATATGGCGGACAGTTACTTGGCGTGTAAGGCTGTTCATCACTTGCCATTTCCACCATTCTCCCTTTCTCCTTCTCTCTCTTCACCTTCCCAATCTCTCTCCGGCTTCTCAATGTTCCCCAATCGCTCCTCACTCCACCACTGTCGCTGCTCCCCAAACCCTCTCAGCCCCAGCCCCAGCCCCAACCAGCCTTTTTTACTCGTCTTCTCAGGTATGAAATCTCTGACTTTCTCTGTTTTTTCTTTTTTTTTTTAATTTGTTCTGTTTGGTTCCCGAGAAATTGTAGGAAGATAAAAGGGCAACTGTGAATGTGGGTATTGCTTTTGGAATTCGGACAGCAAGACCCAGGAGAAAAATGTGTAAAAAGGGAAGCTTGATTCCTCAGAAAGCTTAATTTTTTTCCTTTTGATCTGAGTGGAAATGGGTTTTTCCTGATTTGCGCTATGAGTATTGCGCCTTGTTCATTGTTTTTGGTGCTCTAGAGGAGAACCCACATAAGGAAAAGGTCAAAAAGGCGGTGATTCCAGCAGTTTTAAACGAATAATATATATGTTGTTTTCTTCCTGTTTTGTGCGAGTTGAAGAGGTTTTTGTTTGTTAATTAAAGACGGATCGTTATTTGAAAAAAAGTATGTGGTTTAAATTCTAGTTTCGGTGGCTCATTCCTCAGCTTTCTCCGCAACCAAGAAGTGGATTGAAAGATTTGATTTAGTTGTATTTGGCAAAATTCTTTATGCTTGGGAGTTTATATTTGTGTTGATAGTAAAGAAGTTTAACTTTATGCCGTATGGATGTTTATTTTTATTGTCAAATTGGTCAGGGAAAAATTGTTACTTCATGATTGTTAAGCCAAACTCTACAACTCAATTGGTAATTTGGTGCAAATGTGTGATATATTGAACCTAGGGTTGATCGAAATACAGATATATTAGGTGTTGTGTTCTAGACACCTCTTCATCTTGGGAATTAGTTAGATTTTTTGTTCATTTTGGAATATCTATCTTGCTCAACCTTCCAATGCATCAAAGGTTTTTGACAGAATTGAACTTAATTCTCATTCCCACCTAGTTTTTATTCACATCCTCTCTCTTTTTGTATGATAATGAATTCGCTCTTTCTTATGTTTACCATTATAAATTGCATAACATAGTGGTCATATTGAATAGCAAGATCCCATGAAAAAACTCTGCAGAAACTGGCCTTTTCTTTCCATTTTTTCAAGAACTGCAGACAATGTCCATGTGATACTCGTGTAGATGCCTTATTTCCATGCTAGATGATGGGGTTATTCTTGCAGTCTTTTGTGCATCATGTGTTTGTGTTGTGAAATTCTTGTTTCCGTATATTTAAATAACACAAGGATTCTTTGTGTTACAAACTAAAACTTAGAACTGTTTAATCTGCATTTGCAAAGGTCTGAGTTCTTGGTGAAAAGCACATTGTAATGTGGTTGAACCCGAAAAGTTTTCTAGATTCCTTAACTTCAGTATATAGATTATTTTAAATGTAGATATTGTATGATGATTTGTGTTATGTTTGTTTGTTGTGTGAGTTGGGTTCTGTGATCTGATATTTCTTCTGAAGGATTGGGAATCCAAGAGTGTGTTAATTTATAGACTATATAGCTAGAGACATTTGAGAATGGGTCTGAACTTCTGGTTTTGGTTGTCTGCCAATAGCATGTTTATCTGGATAACTGTGGCAAATATCATGATATTTTTCTTGTAATTTGATACTGATACAGGTGGAACTGCCTTTAATGGTGTTGTAGAAGAGCTAAAGAAGTTAACAATTCGTGTTGCCCATGTTCTCCCAGTTTCTGACGATGGAGGGAGTACAGCAGAGATTGTTCGTGTTCTTGGTGGGTTTTAATTAAGTACATAAGCTCATCCTTCATTATTTCTCTTATGCCCCTGGCTCTAATCAATATATTTTAATTTTGAAAAGTAGAGTTAATCACTATAGTAGTAGACTATTGATGTAGGGGAGCTAAATGAGAAGGGCATGAAGAAGAAATGATTTCTTGCTTGATGTTACTTTGTGGTCTCAACACCCCAGTACATCTGTACATGTGTGTTCTATGTAAGCATGAATTGAAGTGGTGTCAATTCTTCTGTTATCTGTTAGGGAATAGGTTAAGGGTGGTACCCACCTGGATAATTAAAAGAGTAGAGCGAATGAAAAGGGAAGAACGAATAAATGATTTATGGAGAATAAGGGGAGTGGCAGCCCCCCCCCCCCCCCCCCCCCCGCCACTACCGCCACCACCACCACCACCGCTACCACAACTATTACTGTTTTCTACCACCACCATTACCACCCACTATCTACAAAATTGATGTTTAAATTTTTTTATTTTTTCTCTATTTTTATGATTTAATTTTGAATATGAATACAAATATATTTATTATTTACCATTTTTTATTACTCTGTGCCTTTAGGCACATGCAATATGTAGTCCTATAATAAAATATGAGTAATAAAAAACTAAGTTTGGTAAACTTGAGATGATATTTAATTCAAATATATGTATACCTA